ATATTCCTCAAAATTTAACTCTTATTTTATAAAAATTTAGGATGCTACAGACATTATATTATGAATTGTGGTTTTTGTGAATGATTTTATTCTACTATGAACTTTACTGCTTTATACCATAAACTTGATATGGTTGTTAAATGTTACTGTTTTCAAAATCATATATGTTATCTTATAAATTGGGACTTACCTGTTTAGTTTATAGTTTCAAAACTTTGTTTGGGTCTAAGGGGGTTATTATGAACATCCAACGATAATATTTTTTAGATTTCATTGTTAAGAAGGATTCAAAGTTAGGTGAGCATGTATATTGGGATACGACAGCGGATCAAGATGCAAAATTTTAGAGATTAACTTTTAGTTTACGAGTTTTAGATTTGAATGTTTAATCACATTATGGATGTTATTTAATTAGTGTTGGTGAATTTTATTTGGATTGGATATAACCTTAAAGATTGTTTTCTATTTAATTTTGGAGATTTTGATTAGCTAGATATGAAATGATGAATGTTTGATTTACATGACTTATTGGAATATAGTTAGTTAATAACTGAATGTGAATTTGGGGTGTTACACCCCTTCATCCCCCTTCCCCGGAGTTCTTTTATAAGTCCAGGGATTAGCTTCCCTCAAAAGATAGACTCTGAGCTCGCTTGTCGTCTATTTAGGAGAAGAGAGTCCTATTAGGAGTGGATTTTAGACTCCCTCCTTTGTTTGTTGAGAAGATAAGACTCCTCTTGACCGAGAAGTCTTTGACTTGCTCACCTATTAATAAGGGAGGTGAGACTCCTTTGGTGTAAGGGGTCTTAGGTCTTGTATCCTTTCAGAAAGATGGTGCTAAGTGTTCCCTTCAATTTGGGATTCATTTGATTTTCAAATTACTCATAATCTTATCCTTTGGTTTTTTTTATCAACATTCAACAATGTGGGGCAGAGTTGATTACTAGGTCTGTCGTAACTCAGAACTCCTCATGCCCACCTTAGTGGCTTGCAGGTCACGTCAAAGCTTTCCTCGAGATGCTTCTTTACTAAGCCAAATTTTTCCTTATCATATAATATGAATATTTATCGAGAAAAGATTATTAATAAATAATTAATAGTATAAATTAATAGTAATATAATGTTAGTCTTTTTAAAAATACAAACCCATTTCTCCTTCTTATCAATGACCAACACTTCATTAACCGTTTCTCTCTTTGATGCATGACCAACACTTCTTCAGCCGGTTTTTGTCCCTCATCCATGACTAAATTACTAAATAATTTTTCTGTTATATCTTATGTGTTGGAACATTGCTTTGATACAATTTGTTGGTTTTACACATCATCCACTATACTATCAGCCAAAAACAAAGATTCTGAATTATCATTATTGTCCTCTGCAATTTTAGTATGATATCCTTATTATCGGGTCTTCTTAATCTGAAATACTCCCTTTTATAGTGCCCTAATTTTTCATAATTGTGGCATTTGATTTAGAATTTATCATATTGTTCACCCTAATTATTACCTTATCATTCTCCACCATATCTGTTTTGTCACGTGCCTTGGTTATTTGAATGTTGATATTTCTGATTTGATTGAGATTTATTATGAGACTCATCCTTCTCCTTCTCCTTCTTTAAACTTGTCTGAATATGCAAGGCCTCTTCTCCTAAAATTTTTGTCTTTTCATTTCAAACTTTGTTTATAGGCCTTAAGGGAACCCATCAACTCATCAACTATCTAGGAATCAAGATCCTTTGACTCCATGATAGCTATGACAATATATTCGAACCTCATTAATAAGGTCTGAAGAATTTTCTTCATAATCTGGAGATCCTTCACATCCTTGTCGTTGACTCTAATTGACAATAATCAACGTCTGCGAGAAATAATTAAATATATTCTCTGATTTTTCCGTCTAAAGAAGCTCAAACTGTTTATGTAGGGTCTTCAACTGAACCTTTTTCACCTTGTCTTGTCTAATATAACAATTGATCAAAAAATCACATACTATATTTATCGTCAAAATATGAGTAATCTTATCATAAATTGACAAATCAATTGCTTCATAAATATATATTAATCCTCTATTATTTTTCTTTCGATTAATTATTAATTCATCATTTTGGGCTTTTGCATGAGTTGGTAGATCTCCGAAATCTGTGAACCCATTTGTCACAATATCTGAAAAATCCATGACCTTGAAAAATAACTCCATTTGTATTTTTCAATGTTGAAAATTTAACCTCCTGTCAAAATTTTCAACCGGACATTAAACGAACTCGTTCTTATTTGCTATCTCTGAAAATGGCTGTGATACCATTTGTTGGTTATGCACAACGAATAATTAATATAAATAATACTTGTTGAAAAATAGGAATTTAAAGATAGGAAAAACAATAAAACATGACACAATGACATAACGTAGTTCGATACAGTATACCCTCCTGGTACATCGTACCAACGTTCAGAGACCAAAAAACCTACATTGATGTATTATTCACTTCAAAACTTGTCATCTGGTAAATAAGTACATAATATTTAACCTTATTTATAGGGATAAAATATTATAACTCAAGCCTATTCAAGTATAACTTGATATTTATATTTTATATCACATGTCTAATATACCAATTCATGATATATTAAAACTCTTCCAATCTAATCGTATTTGATGTGGTCACTAATAAATTTATTCATGGTTTATTAGGACTCTCGCATTGATTACCCAAACAAAGTCTCCTTCATGACACTTGAAGAGTTTAGGTGAAATTCTAACAGTATGGCTTTTTATTTCACCATATATAACTTTTCCTCTATTACATTTAACTACCTATAGCTTTTCCTGTCACATTAACCTAGATTTATATATTTTCTTTTCTTTTCACTTCTCTGTCTTTCTATTTCTTTCTATATGCACAGTGCACCCTAGTGGAATTAAATCATGATCTTGATGGTGTACCAAACATCATGAAATGCGCCATCACAATTGCAGAATGAAAAACGTGCGAGATCGAAATGCAATCATAGTTTTCAGGTGAGTTTAGAAACCATTGTTGAGCACTGAGATCATGTATGTCAATAGATTCAATTCTGGTGACAGAATATTCATCGGCTGGGTATTCCTCCTTTACCTATATACAATTTTATTTTTGGGCAAATTGTGAAAAGGTACACTATTTCATACTTATTTGTATAAAAGTATCTAAATATAAAATATATGTGTATAAGTACATTTGTGTGTAAATGTTTGGTGACGAGATACGCTTTTATTGATTTTTAAAATTTTCTTTTACGGAATTGTCCTTTACCTTTATTAATGGGAAAAACAAATATGACAGTTATTTTAGCGACTCAGTTTCCTAAATTTATGGAATATCATTTTTGAATTTTTAAATTATATCTTCCTCTTTCATTCAACTTAAGTTATTCAAATATTAATGTCTTTCGCATATTTGTATAATTTATTTTATTTTATATTTTTTTATCAATCGTAATAAGGAATATATGTTTTCACCTTATATAATATCATTGGTTATTATGAGTGTTTTTTTCATTGGATATTTTAAATTTAAATTTATATGTATGTTATTTGATGTGTTTATAAGTAACAGTAATATATGTCACATTGGCTCGTACATGTCACATTAGCATAGTGGTACACGACAATGTCATAGTGTTACAAGATAATGTCACACTGATATAATTTTAATACCAGCCTATTCCAGACTGAAACCAACCTAGTCACACTGCTACAAACCAAATTCACACTGTTACAAATTAATGTCATACTACTACAAGTCAATGTCATACAACATACATTGACATGACATAGGGCACAATGAATTATCATAGTGGCATAATACATGCAAAAATTGTATGACACACACATCATGAATAATTAAATCTAATGTAAATAAGACTACGTAGTATCATAAACAAACAAAAGATGGCGAATTGTGTTCGTGGGTGGAATTAGAGTTGTGAGGAGGTGGTGATGTTGGTTGTGGTCTCGATTAAATAGTGCATGTGGGACGGGAAGGTTTTGAGGGCGGTGAAGGGGGTAAGGTCTTTTGTGAGAATGCAATTGTATACGACCTCTTTAGTTTTTTTTTTGGATAAATAATCAATCACTTGGTGTGCATGTAGTACCAAGCACCAGAAGCAAAAAGGTGTGGTTGGAGAAAAAAAAGGTAGATAAAATAAAAACGTTGAGATAAAATAACAATGTTTTTCTTGAGTTATAAACTTTTTTTTCAAAAACTTCAATGATCTCAACCGTCATTCTTCTCCACAATGCACCTTTTGTTCTTCAATGATTGATACTCTGTGTGATATTAACAGTTTGATGCCGACTTTTTCATTTCTTCACTGTGAAACCCTAAAAAATTGATTTTTAAATGACGATTTTCAGAGAATGATGGTTTTGGGGAAATTTTGTTATCCCCGTTTGAAGTTCACACAATCCGGCGATAATAGAGGAAATAATCATAATTGTTATCTCTTTCTTTCCTTCCGAATGTATTCTCACTTGTCTAGAAACTATTCAATTTCTACAAAAAAAAGGGTATTTTAGACTTTGGATATGACATGTGTACCTTTTTATTAATCTTTTTAATTGTGATACTTTTTGCCTTATATTTCTAATAAATAGTACCGATCGCCATAATTCCCTTTTATTTTACCTCATTCTCTACAAAAATATCGGCCTATTACTGTGTCGTCTCATTCAATGACTTCTTTACTGGTTACTTTGTACATTTGAAAATGACCCCGAGGAATTTGACCCATTAATATTCCTCATTCCTCAAGGTGCTGTCTCTTACCAAGAAACAAATACTTCAATGATCAAACCTAGAAAATACCATTTTTTAGCACAACCCCAGATACCCAATTATATAACATTCCCTACTTCTCATCTCTCATTACCACCTCTTCATTCCATCTTACTTGCTCGTTATCACCATTTTCTCTCTCTCTTCACTTCTAATGCTTCAAAGCAAAAGGGGTACAATCATGAGAATCAAAGAAAACAGCCAAGACAAGCTGAGGCGTTACATTCGAGCACCCAAGAGGTTTCTAAGAAAGGCTAGAGACTTCTATGTGGAAAGCCTGGTGAATTTTGATGGAAGAGTTGCTGGCGTTGGCAAAGTGATGGGCGGTCCTCACCCACCATTGGCCAAGCACTTTGGCAGTCGCCCACGGAAAAGTAAGGATAAAGATGAGCTCATGGAGCTTTTCGGGTCAATATCTAGGTGGAATATTGGGAGTAAAGAAGAGACTGATGTGCAGG